AACAGTGCCTGGTGCCTCTGAAAAATCGAATGGGCTAATGCGAGCTTGATACTATAAACATTAATCATATATTTGAGGAGACATTTGTACAAGTTCATCTTTGAAATTACTCATCTGCACACGTAATGGACCCGTACGAAAAAGCCACCGTTATTGAAATAAAGACAGGGTAAACCGCGCACTTCTTCAGACTTCTTCAAGCTGACATTTCACCTGAATACTTTTGTAACATCCCAATTTGAACAGTAAGGCAATGGATAACCGGTTGCTTTTGCGTGCAACTGGCTTGCGCTAAGTAATCCGTATTCCACAGAACATAATAAAAGTGACACGAACAGTTCAAACGCTTCGATGCAAGGACAACCATGGGTGATTTTTAACTTCCAAAAAATTTTTAAATCAATCCTGCATTGCGAAGAATGGACAATGTCTACAGAATACAACACACTTGCATGGAAATAAATTGTATACGAGCATTGTACCAAGAACCCACAGAAACAGGCAAGAGATATCATCTAACTTGGGCAGAGAATCGCATTGACGAGAGAGAGGAATATAGTGCACTTACTCGCAGGTAGGGGAGAGCCTAGATTATTGGCAGATCCCGGGGGCCCGTTGTGTGTTGCATTGCCTGTTTTCGAACGAATGGCAAGGGCCTCACGAGCCGAGACAAAAAAAACACGCTCTTCCGCCTCGGCACGAGTGCAAACCTTCAGTTCATCTACAAGGAATGCCACACAACGTTGCATATGTTGTTCTCGTACCTGAAGAGAATGACAAACAAATTTTCGTGGGGAGAGGGAAGAGTTACCGATCGCCAACACTGAATCAAGGGTAATTGCTTAACTACAGAAAAAAGCAAGTCTTGGAAAGTATCAGGAAAAACTGTCATAACTGATGAGAGATAGTGTGAATCCTACTACGATTCAGTTTAAGGTCTTCATTTTAGTGCACGGTATTAGTGTGTGTGTGTCGAACAGTTATAGAAAATGGCAATCGTAACCATATTGAAAATTTAGACCTTAGTTCGTTTCTCACTTCTGCGAACTGCTATGAATGTAATGATCGAGCAATCGATAAAATAGGGCTTGGAGATAACTAATTATGAATTACCACCATCATCGTACAAACAGTTAAACCAAAGCGAATTTCGCTGATAGTGGCCAAGCTAACAATGAACGCAAAGTAAATTGGTTGGAGAATGAAGCTGCTTCGAGGTGGGAGAAACAAATGTGAACGGATTAGGCCACCGCCACACACATCATTCAACTGTGCACCTCGTCACACCTGTCCAAGTATTGGAACGAGATAAAAAGTGTTAACGCCACTGCTCTTGGTTTGTTGCGATGTTTCTCACTGTTTTCAAACAACCAGCTGGAATCTTGGGTATCCCAACCTGGAAGGCCAGAGAGACTTTATATAATACATTTGGGCAATTCTTCATACCTCGTTTCCACGTCACCTATTGAATTCCACATGGTTTCTGCCACTGTAGTCACCCCGTTGTATGGTGGGTGGATTACATGATAAATTATTGTGTATTCTAAGGATAACGAATGTGAAAGTTAACAGTGGTTTAGCAGAAACCTCACAGGGGTCGATCACGTTGAAGAGATTCAATAAATACCGGAATATGCGTAGATTAAACTAACCTCATTAATATACTCCATCTCATTTGCAGATGCATCCCAACGGTTATTGATGACAAATATGTTTGGTTTTGAAAGGCGTTGGCTCACGCGATGGAAGAAGTCTTTTTCCTAAAAGCAAGCAAATTTTGGATGACGATATGAAACAAGACATGCAGATCAGTGTTTGGTATTCCAGTCCATGATGAAATCGATGAAGCATAAAACCTCGAGCTCAGCCCATGGTGCACACAATGAACAGTGCTCGTACGCTAATCAGCAATTAGATTGAGAAATCCAAAACTCCTAACGAATAGGTACGCAACAAGACATTATAAAATCGGGTTGGGTAGGGCACTGGAACGGTTAGACAATGAGGTATATCGCAGTTTCCCAAAACGTGCAAATCGTGCTTGAGGGTGATATATATATATATATATATATATATATATACTTCACACACGTCTAACACCACACTGTGTA